ATAAAAATAAATTTACGTTCTTAAGTGACAATCAACGAGAATATATTCTAATCGAATGACCCGACCTAATTGTAAGAAAAAGACCTAAGAGAATAAAAAAAGGAGACCCGTTTAGGTGAGCCCATACCTCAACATAAGTCAATAGGTATTGATCATTGACATAGGTGGCCACATCTTCAAGACCAAGTACCCGTCATGGCGCAAGAGGTGGTCTAGTCCTTGGTCATCATCATGCTTAGAGTGTACTAATGTAGTAAAGACATGATGACACTCTAATAAAATTCCTTATAATATGTATTATTGGTAACATAAATATGAAAAATAGTTTTTACCCCGCTTAATTTTTCCTCATGACATGACTTATAATTATTGAGTGCCATGAATTGATAGACCTTATTACCAAATTTTAATAAAAGATTAATGCATCCAATATTCCCTTCATTTAATGAGGAAGGGAGGGAACCAAAAAAAAAAAAGAAAAAAAAAAAAGGGGAGGGGGGGCTTGGCCTTAGTTCCCTAAGATGAGAGTAATATTTAGTCGACAATACAAATTTAACAGTGAAATAATTCACGTATTAACTAAAAAACGAGGCACTATTTAATAAGATTCCAATCACACATAACTGATCACTTTTATGTACTGTTGCTCTCTTATCCATTCTTTCCAACCTCAATGCCCATTCATCATGGGACTAAATTAAATTTATCCGGGTGCGAACTTACCAACCAACATTCTATGTTGACTAAACCCGCTAGCCACTAATAGTGCAATTTTTGTTCAAACCATTTGAGCGAGCAAAATGAATTATTGGTCATTGAATTATCAACTCAACCAATCTTATTAGTTTTAATTTCTTTAAACATTTAGGATGTACTTACTAACCGAAAAATAGAGAATACATTCAGGTTGCGTTTAGTAGTGGTATATTAAAGTAAACATAATCGTAATTACTTCTTTATTTATATAGGAAAGAATTAGTTAATGTAATTGGCAGCTAGCTTAGTATTAAATTAGTTGAATAAGAATTTGTTGGAATTGAAGTTTTTTCACACTTGACAAAACATGCATTATCTAAATCCATCATCATCTCCCTCCAAAAAGGTTGAATTCCCAACCTTAAGGACCCCACACTCGACCCGACAGAGCATTTGAGAGGATATAAATCACGGTAACTCAGTGGCTCAGCAGACATGACCAAATGTGGTGATATACCCACTTTAATTTGGACATAATTCCACACTATCGCTGCCGATATCTTCTCCCAAATATTACCTACTGAACCATTAAATTAAACCTGTTCGAGCATCATCATCTTTATAAAATGTGATTCTCTATATGGGAATGCAATGCATGGCCGACCTGATATTTTATCGGGCATGGATATATGGATGGGGTTAGGGTACCTCAGCTCCTCCATGCATATGACACCATTCTTCTCCTCAAAGTAACTTTTGAGAAGTCAATTTGGTTCACTATCAATTGACAGAGGTTGTCATTCCAAAGTAGAGACAAAGTGGGACTGCAGTCATGGAAAAACCTTCCACGTTGTTTCATTTTCCTCCACCCAATCAACATACCTTGTCCCCTCCACATTTTTTTCCCCTACCACGGGATTCGAGTTTAGTGCAAAACAAGTTAGATAGTTACAAACCATTTTTGTTTGTTTAGGGTTTTTATGTATGTATGTATATTTATTTACTCTTATTTCAAGTCTTGATTAAATAGTAAATCATCTGACATTTAAAAATGAATTAATTTCACTTTTGGTCCCACGACTTTTGATGTTCTATCACTTTTGGTGCACAACTTTAAAATTTTTTAATTTTGGTGCCTAACTTTGTTATTTTTATCAGTTTTGGTCCTTTCGGCCAAATTGACAGCGAAATGTTGTTGGATTTTATATTTTTAGGGGTAAAATCGTCATCATAAGGAAGCATCTTCAATATCTAAACAAAATCACTTAAAATCATATCTATAGGTGTTTGATCGATGAGAATAATGGGGAAGACGGGCAGAAACCAGACAGATCTATGGGATTTATAGTTTCGACCATTGGCAAACTCTTTTTTTCCTCTTAATATGATTTTTCTTTTGTTTAAATATTGAAGATCTTTAAATTGGATGACGATTTTGTTCCTAAAATATAAAATCCGGAAATATTTTACCATCAATTTGGTTGGAAGGACCAAAACTGATAAAAATAACAAAATTAGGCACCAAAAGTGAAAAAATTTAAAGTTGTGCACCAAAAGTGATAAGAACTCAAAAGTCGTGGGACCAAAAGTGAAATTAATTCTTTAAAAATTAAAATGGTCACTTTGTGGTGTAATTTTTAGTGGGGTTCACTTTCGGTTTAAGTTGTGTCAAGTTGATTTGATTTTTTTTTGAGTGAGATGTTTAATTTGGTATATTATACACTCAAAATGAATAATTGATAAAGGAAGAATTGATTCTCAAAGCATACCCATTTGAGACTGGAAAAATGAAATTGAGAACAACATTTGTTCCACATTGAAAATGAGTGTGAATTTGTACTACTATATATACAATTCAACTTCTTAAAAATTTTGAATTATATAACATAGATATTCTCTTGTGTATAGGAGGGATCGAAATATTTTATTTCGATTTTTGGGGAAATTTCCCCACAATATTCTCTAAAGTAATTGTACACTAATGTTGACATCATGACAAATCCATACTGATGTAGTATATACGATCATTTATGACTACAAATACAGTACTAGGATCAATTCCGTAATTATGCGCTCTATGCTCGGGACTTAGGAACCGACCTCATCTGGTCGAATGGATTATCCCGAACAAAGACCTTCATTGTTTAAGGAGCACGCCCAAACCGACCACATCACCCCGACCGTATCCTGATGATGCGGTAGTCAGGAATCTCCTCCTACATGGATCTCTCGAGATTGTCCTTGTTAAAGACCGGTGCATACAAGACAATCCTTCGAGGCCTTTATATAAGATTATAAGGTGCCTCTATTGCCTAGACTTTTGAACCTTTTCACTAACAATACATCTTAGCTCGGGAATCTGCGACCCACTGTCTAAATTACCTGAGCTCACGTACTTACTTCGTAGACGTATTAGAGACTCTAGTGTATTTACCGCATCAGCTTGTATACAAGTGTTCGCACTAAAATAAATTTATATATGATTATATGACTTAAATTTACGAACTAGAATTGCCAGCAAAATAAACCATTAACATATATCCAATTATACAAATGATTTTAGTTTGATGAAGGGGCTGGTGAGTGATGTCATGCCTTAGGTATACATTCACCCATCCCGAGCAGTAGAAGAATTGAAGCTAGTGCACACAAATTCCTGACACCACAGCTAAGCTAAAAAGGTTACTATATGTAAAAGGTGGGGCGGCTTAATTGGCTGTCTGTTAGCGGTTAGCTTAGCCATAGAACTTGGAAGGAAAGAACCACTCTTCTCTTTATTAGGCAACAAAACAATCCTTGTCCAAATCCACAGGCCTCCAACTCTTTATTGTCTTCCATGTTTTGCATATGATAAAATAATAACCATTAATTTATCTGAAAGAGATGATTAAATGAACAGATCAGAACATGATCTTCATATTTAAAAAGTTATGAATTTAATTTTTGTCAACATTTTTTTAATGAAATTTACCTAATTGTTTCTCTTATCACTTGAAAATTGAAAATTGAAAATAAGTCATCATGTCAATCAATATTATTTTCATGGTAAAAAATAACTCTATTATATTTTATTTTCATATATAAAATTCAATGCTTGATTAAATTTTATTTCTTTGCCTTTCCAAAAAAAAAAACTTATTTCCTTGTATATATTCATTAATATTTTTATAATGCCAAAAGACTTTGTCGTCAAGCGACATAACTGTGGCTCTATCTCTCAAATGAGAGGTCACACTACATTGTAACATAGTCAATAGTACTCAAAAAATAATTTTAAAATGTAACTTTAAAAAAATATTTTATATATATATATATATATATATATATATATATATATATATATATATATATATATATATATATATATAACGTATTTTGTTGCTCGAAATTCTATAGTCACTACTCAAAAATTGCTTCATTCCTAAGGTAGTGGACTTGCTATGTTTTTTCATTGATCTCTTGGAGACTATAAGATCAGAGTTGTTCTCAAACGAAATTAGTTTTTGTTATATAAGTCATATTTATAGAGAAATTGACAGGTATGCATATTAGATGATTTATATATATATATATATATATATATATATATATATATATATATATATATATATATATATATATATATATATATATATATATATATAAGTGTGTTGATTGAGGTATATATAGTAGTTTTCTTTTGCTTGAAATATACATTTAATTTATTTATATCCAATTAAAGGGAAAAATTTGTTCGTAAAATATACATAATTATTGAACTCTATATTCACAATTACAGAACACTATGTTCATAATTATAAAGTTATATATTCATAATTTTTGAGCTTCATATTCACAATTATTGAATCTCTATATTTATAATTACAGAACTATATGTTCATAATTATATTCACAACTCTATGTTCATAATTATAAAACTATATTTTTATAATTTTTGAAATATATATTCATAATTATGAATAGTTTTGGAACCGTATCCACCTTGCAAGGTGAACACGGTTCCACAGCATAATTTGACATCAAGTAAGTGGAAGAATGATTATCATAAGTAAAAGTTATTTTTTATTCTTGTCAAGATTCTCTCTTGGTCAGCCTGTTACACAAGATTTTTTTAGTATGATTTATCTCTGGTATGTAATTTGCTCACTTTTAGTTAGTGAATGTTGTTCCCTTATCATCCAAGAGAAATAATAAATGCGGATAATACATTTATTTATCTGTTAAAATAGTATTTCATTATATTTCATTGTCTTGAACACAGTTGCTCTCGCAGGCGTCAGCTCATCACTATATATATAGCCACCCCCATCTTAATCTGCTGCAATCCTCACTCTTTGGTCTTGATTCTAGAGGGAGATGGCAGGCTGCGGCGGCATCAATAACAATCAAGTTGATGATCAAATGGCACTCATTTCTCATTTTTATCCAGATATTTACACTCAACTCCTACCCGATCAAGGTTAGCTAGCCACCCATGCATATATATGATGTTTTTGTTTTTACAAAATTTTAAATAAATCCGGCGAGAAAACGCTTCTGTGGGGCTGCACCGTCGCTGCCGGAGGAACAAGAAGATTTTTCCGGCAGCCACTCACGGCGCATCCCCATGTCCCAGTTGTGGTCCCTGAAGGTTAGATGAAGAAAAGCCCAGACCCGAAATGGGTCTCTCTCTCTCTCTCTTTTGTGACCAGGAAAACATATAGTGATTACTAGAGAGTAAACTTTGTCTTGTGATTCTAGTCAGTAATGATTGTTCATAGCTGATCGGTTCAAATCAAGAAGAGGAGAGTGAAACTTGTTTGTTTAGTTTAAGATCCGACATTAGGTGTGTTTTTTTTTTTTGGAGAGAAAGATTTGTTAAATGAATTTCCGGCCATCAATTTATGAATCTGACGTGAAAGTGGGTGTTTTCAGGAGAGGCGACGGAGGCGAAACCAAGGCGGAGGCGCAAGAAGAACAAGGCGGGCGGGGACGGCGGCATGACCGGAATCAGGAAGCGAAAGCTGAGCGAAGAACAAGTCAACCTCCTGGAACAAAGCTTCGGCGATGAACGGAAGTTAGAGTCGGAGAGGAAAGACCGGCTGGCTTCCGAGCTCGGACTTGACCCCCGCCAAGTCGCCGTCTGGTTCCAAAACCGCCGGGCGCGGTGGAAGAACAAGAAGCTGGAGGAAGAATACTCCAAGCTCAAGGCGGAGCACGACTCCACCGTCCTTGAAAACTGCCGTCTTGAATCTCAGGCACGTACATACAAACTTTATATAATTCATTTATTTTTGAGTTAGGAGAGAAATTTGTAGTTATTACCTAAATGTGTATATTTGTACCTAAAAATCAGGAATAGCTGTACTTGTGTTAAAATCAGAGTCAAACTTGTAATCTTATAGTTATCAAGTCAACAACCAACCAACTTAGCTGGTTACAACAAAACATAGAATAATTTCAAATTTTCTCATATTGTCCTAAATGAAGGTAAGAAAATAAAATGCGAAAACACTAAGTTTAGGCATGCATGGTCCGTAGAATTAAAAGAGAAATTAAAACAAAATTAATTAGGAAATAATCAAAACTGGAGTATAAACTGGAAAGTACTCAAACACTCTTCTTTAATTTGCCACCTTAATTGGAAACACAAGTCACAACTACCCCATATGTACATTATTCCCAACACCCTTGTTTAAGGTAACATGTTATGGTTCACCCTTGTCCCAAAGACCCTCTTTTGGTCTTTCCTTCTATTCTCACGTGGCCCGATTTTCTCGCGACAATAGAACAATGTTAAAATAACGTTACTAGCCTAAAACCTTATAGTCTAGTAATATAAATTTGAGATAACGATAATGTTATAAACGTGTAATTATTCTTAATACGATGATATTGTTGCAGGTGCTAAAGCTGAAAGAGCAACTTTGTGATGCCGAGAATAGGATTCAGAGTCTATTGGAGCGCCGCCACCATGGCGGAGGCGGAGGCGGAGGCGGAGGCGATGGGGTTTCCAGCAATAGTCCGAGCACTTCATCATTCCCCACAGAGGCACCGACGTTTTTCGGAGAGTTTGGAATGGACGGTTTGGACGATGAGTTCTATGTGGACGAAAACCATTACGGTCATGTCGTGGATCAATGGATTAAGTTCTACGGAATGTGATTATATTTATGAAGCTTATTATCATTATTATATAATAATAACTTCATGGCCGGATTCGTTATTCTAGGTAGCTAGCTAGATATGATAATGTAAATATATGACCCCCTATGTCTAATGTATGTAAATTATCCCCCTTTGTTTTCTCTTGTTACTAATTAAGTTAACTGGTCTTAGCTTATGTGTAGATAGCACGTAGCAGCAGTGTACTAGTGTGATTTTAATAGTATATATAACTCCATCTTTACTTATTTTAAATGTCATGTCATTTTATGTCAATCAAGGTTCATAAATGTACAGTGTGCAATTCAAAGATCAGTTATTGTATATGTAATTAGTAACTTATAACTGATTTAATTTCAAATTAAAATTGTACTAGTTATGAGGATAAGATTCTTATCCAATAATACCAATATTATCTAGACTTATCTTACTCTAATTTTGGTACGATTAAGCTCCGAGGTGTGATAGTGAGTAACCCCAGAGTTCCAAAGTGCGGTCCGGTGAACCCAGTTAGGCAAAAATTGACCCATCACCAAGAAATGGCCGCAAAAGAAGACATGAAGAGGACACATGTCAACATGAAATGCTCCGAAATATTGGCATCTGTCCCAAAAGCAAGTTGTGGGCTTACCTTAAATACCGTTTGGGATGGCATTTTCCATGTCGGGAGGGGGGATAATGACAATATAGTGAGATCGAAGCAATTCAAATACAATGCACCTAACAGGCAGAGGTACGATTTTAGTGCACACTGAACGGTCACGTTTTAGGGTTTGTCGTCGTCTGTCGTTTTGTTGCCTCACATGAAGAAATGGGTATGATTCCGTGACCTCGAGAATCTTCGCTCCAATTGCGGCCAAACACGGCCGTATCCTATAAAGAGTTCGCACTTTAACAAATGTTGTTGGACTTACTGAACTATATATTGGGATGAAGATGCAGGCCAGGCAGGCCCATTGGACTTCTTATGGGCTGGTGTTGCCTCATTCTTGTATGGCAAATTATGTTGTAGACACCGTTTCAAAATTGTTCATAATTATAAATATGAGTTAATTACCGATCTTGTCTATTGACTATGAAGATTTCACTAATCTGGTTCTCGACTTTTAAAATTTTTCAATTTAGTTTCCGATTATGCTTTTTTTTTTTTTTTTTTTTTTTTTTTTTTTTTTTTGTTCGAAATGGTCCTAACCGTTAGACGTCCGTTAATTCGGGACCAAATTGGTAATTTGCTATAGTCGAGGGACCATTTCGGCCATCACATGCATCATTTTCTCCGAAAGTTAATTACTGAAAATGGTCTCTTGACTAAAGCAAAATTACCAATTTGGTCCCGAGTTAACGGACGTCTAACGGTTAGGGCCATTTCAGGTAAAAAAAAAGAAGAAGCATAGCCTTGGATTAAATTGAGGAATTTTGGAAGTCGAGGACCAGATTGGTGAAATCCTTATAGTCGAGGGACCAAATCGGTAATTAACACTTATGAATATATAGTTCAAAAATTATGAACATATAGTTCTATGATTATGAATATAGAGATTCAATAATTGTGAATATGAAGTTCAAAAATTGTGAATATATAGGTTTATAATTATGAACATATAATTCAGTAATTTTGAACATAGAGTTCCGTAATTGTGAATATAGAGTTCAATATTTATGAATATGAAGTTCAAATATTATGAATATATATCTTTATAGTTATGAACATATAGTTCAGTAATTATGAACATAGAACCGTGTCCACTTTGCAAGCTGGACACGGTTCCACAACATAACGATTTTTCCTGTATGTATTACTGTGGAGTTGTTATACCATGGACTAGGGTCCATCTTGCAAGGTGGACATTGGTTAAGTCAAAACACATAACACTTATAGAAGAGAATTTGTGAATACAATACATGGTTATCAAATCCTAATATGTTAATATTGTGAGACTGTAGTATTTGAAAGAAACTTGTGAATACAAAATAAAGTAATTAATTACATGTATACAAATTGTGAATTTTTAAAATGTAAATTGTGAACATTTGGATCCGGGTCCATATTGCAAGGTGGACTCGAGTCCACATAATAATTTGCCAAGTATTTTGTACATGAGTTTATTCCACATTTGATCTCTAGATTATATTCGTATATATTTTCGCTTTTGATTTGTTTCATTTTTTTTTTTTGAAAATCGTGATTTGTTTCATTTTTCGATTTTGATTTGTTTCATTTTTTTTTTTGAAAATCGTGATTTGTTTCATTTTTAATAATCAAACTTTAAAAATATTTCGCTACCCTACTATAAATATAGGCATTTCAAACCGATTATTTGCTACTGCAATAAATTAAAATAAAGCCATGCTCATCTAAGATTGAGCATGGATGAACTTTGCCTGAGAGCTTCTTTAGTTTGTCCATGCCTCCCATAGTAATCTCATGAAGAAAACTCAAAGAAAGGTTTTAAATTTTTTTGAAAGATCAAAGAAAGATTATTTTAAATATCCAAGGAAATATTGGTGTTTGGTGATTTTGTTCTTAGGAAAGGTTTTTTAGAAAAAGTGTATCTCAAAGAAGATGATGATGTGCTTTTGTACTTCAATGAGTGCGTCAGATTTTGAAAATAATCTAAGTGATTCTTCAAAGAAATACCCTTAAGCATTTATTGGAAATAATTGAAAATAAATGTTCTAGTAAAAATGATTATTTAATCTTATGCATTAAATACAAGTTCATAATATTAGGGGTGTACAAACTTTGATAAAACTTTGATTAATCAACCGAATCAAAGAATTTTGATTAATAGTTAATTTGGTTTGAAAATACCAATGAATTTTGATTAACCGTTAATTTGGTTAAAAAATATCAATTAACGGTTAAAGATTTAAAAATTTAACTAAAAAATTTCGGCTAATCAGTTAATTGACTGATTAACCAAAAAGAAACTTCAATTCGGTTAATTTAGTAATAAAAACTTCAGTTCAATTAACCAATAAAGCTTTAAAAAATTTAATTAACTCGATTCCGTTAACCGAATGCAGATTCCTACATAATGTTAGTTCTTTGCACATATGGTGTTTTTCTTTCATCATCATCCTTTGCGTGACAATCTGACAGATTTCATTTACAGTTACATAGTAGTAAGCGTTTGATTTTAATAAATTTTATACTGCACATTTTATACAAAAAATATAGTTAAATAATATTACATTTTACCATATATTATTATTTGCATCTTAAAAGATGAAACTAATCTAATTAAATAATATTGATTGAGTATCATTAAGAACAACTTTGTCCCATATATTAAATGATTACAAGCGATGATTATGCGTAAAAAATTATTATTTAGTGCAATGCAATATGTATAAATTAAAATAAATAATTTTTTTCTAATTATATATTAAAAATATAATAGATAATGAAAATGATTATTTTTTTAAATAATTTTTATTTTGTCAAAATCTAGCTAGTGAAGCCTTCCAACTCAACGATTGAGCATTCCAACTCGGAAGCCTTTGTGAGCAAGATTTCAACTATTCAGTTATATAACAGATTTTCCCTCTCATTTCAACGATTCAGTTATTTCTATCAGCCTAAGCTCATCCACCTCTTTATAACAGATTTTCTCTCCCTCCCTCCCTCTCTCTCTCTAGCTATCTCTCTCTAGCTATCTCTCTCTCTCTCTGGTAAACCTGCTCGTTAGAAGGAATGGGGAATAAGCATAGTCAATACACCCAAGATGATGAGTTCAAATTTCTGATCGATGAAACCAAGCTCCAATATGGATATGTAATCAATAAGGGTGAGAACACCACCGTTTACGTCGGAACGTAAGTCTCCTCTTTGATTCTTCGAGTGCCATTTCTGATTCTATGTTTATTGTTTATATATTCAAAATTTGGTGGAGGAAATGATAAATATGGCCACTATCTGTTCGAAATTCAATTCAATTCATTATTCTTCAATTCTTATGGTAAATTTGTTCTTGACCTTTCTTGAGCTTTAATTTGATTGAGCGTTCTGAATTATTCTGGCTTCTATTGAAAATCTAGCTCGGATTTATGTACTGTACAGTGAATTAAGTCTGTTCTCTGTTAGAGTGAAGTTTTGCTATAGATTTTGCCTCTGATCTGACTTCTTTATCAATAGAAGTAGCTGAAGAGATAGTAGTGAGCTTAAATTTATAGATTAAGTCTGTTCTCGATCTGTTGTATTGTAAATGATGTTCAGAAAGTAGAGAGAAATAACACGATTTTGCCTCTGTTTATCAATAGAAGTAGTGAGCTTAAATTTATAGATTGCTGATTAATTAGTTACTTAGAGTTGAGAATTGTTATGTGTGACAGATATATGGCCAAACCTGTTGCCATAAAAGTAATACAGAAAGAAAAAGGCACAGATGTGAGTGCTCATCGAAACGAGAGATTTCTGAGGGAGGTCAGGTTGCTTGCTGCGTCCAAGCATGACAACATTCTGAAGGTAGTTATTCTTTTTTTTTTTTTTTTTTTTGGTAATATATTCATCGTCTATCTTTCCTGGGGATATGATCGATGAAATGTGTTGTTTCATGGTTGAGCAGTTTATTGGGTTCAGCCTGGAACCAGCCTTGACATTAGTTACAGAAATCATGAAAGGAGGTTCACTTCAAAAGCACTTATGGCACATCAGACCAACCAAGCTAGACCAAAAGGAAGCTTTAGTTATGGCATTAGAAATCTCTCGCGCAATGGCATATTTGCATGAAAATGGCATCATTCATCGCGACTTAATGCTCAGTAAGTAATTTTCTGCAGGCCTAACTTTGGTGCTAGCTATTCTGCTTATTAGTCATCAAGCTAATTATATAATTTTCTTGATCTCTTCTTGGATTGCAGATAATATTTTTCTATCAGAAGGCAAGAAGAGTGTGAAGCTTGGGGACTTTGGGCAGTGTAGGGAGCGTCTGGAAGGTTATTTTTCTACTGATGTTGGAACCTATCGCCGGATGGCTCCTGAGGTAGCAACTTTAATTTATTAACCATTCATCCAATCATATATATCAGGTGGAATTTTTTTTTTTTTTATTTTATTAAGGTGTATGTATGTGTCTGCCTGCATCATCATATATATCAGGTGTATAGTAGGGAGCGGGATGGAATCAGAAGCTTAACGACGAGATACAATCATAAGGTGGATGTATATAGTTTCGCTTTTGTTGTGTGGGAGCTGTACACAAACAAGACTCCTTTCCAGGGCAAGGATATCAACATGATTAAAAAAGCTGTACTTAATGTATGTATGCAAATTAAATGCAGACTTCAATTCATTTACTCTTTCATTTCCGGCCAGTAGCAGTTATATTGATTGTTTTTCTTTTTTTCATTTCATTTCAGAATGAGAGGCCTATCCTGGATGAGGAGGATATTCCGTTTGCCCTTCATGACTTTCTGCAATCCTGCTGGTCAACTGATCCACTACAACGACCAGAGTTTTCGGCAATCACAAAATTTCTAGAAGAATTGCGGAGCGAAATTGAGCCCGGTTGGGACATTATAGAACCCAGTATCCTAGCTAGCCGGCAGGAAAATTTGTGGATGAAGACTAAGAAGATCATCACAAGACTGGTCTCCTGTCTTCCTTTTCGCAAAAAGCCACCTCCAAGTGGGCTGCTGTTTTTTCCTTAAGAGTGGCATCTGCAAGTGTCTTTAAATTCTGCTGCTGCATATAAGATACATACATACATACAGGCTTCTTGATTGGCATATACTTGTAAAGTACACTTCATTCTTGATTCTTGGCAGATTCCATTTACTGCACAATAAAACAATATAATCTGTTAGACTGTCTATTCTTGGTCTTTCTGTTTTACTGTTTTCTGCCATATACCATTTTACTTTGATGATTTGATTAAGGGTCAAGGCTAGCTTCCAGCAGAATGCTTAGACCATTTCGATCATTTGATTTATATGTTATTTGGATTAGAAGTGGGCTTACATTGATTACTAGACAATATTTTCCCCTTTAATAATATGGAGTACTAATTCATTATATCTGTTTTAAAAGTCTGGTGCAGTCAAAAAATAAGTTAGATGGATAAATTAGAGCAATCTTAAACCACAAAAGTTTCAAATTATATTTTTCCATGATTCACTTTAGAATTTATATTTAACACTTTGACATTTTCTGTAATTGTTAATTTAACATTATACATATTCATTTTTAGTATACTATAAGATATTTTTGTTGTCTTTCAAAAAATAAGATATTTTTGTTGTAATCTTGATTCCTATTAGCCCGTAGCATTCTGCGAATCATCTCGTCATTACTTTACTATGCTCTAGCTTTGTTATAGCGACTGTTAAGTTATGAGATGATATAAAGAAAGGAAAAGTGTCAAATTGGCCCCCTAAGTCAAGTGGATAGTGCAATTGGGTCCCTTAAGTGAAAAAAGCTCCATTTAAGTCCCCTAAATCGGTAAAAATGTTCAATTAAGTCCAATATGACTTGTTTATCAGGTTAAATCGATATGGTGTTGACACGTGTACTTCTTATTTTATTTTTTAAAACAAATGTTTTTTATTTATTAAAAATTAAAAATATTATTTATTATAAATTAATTAATTAATAATAATAATAATTACAAATTAAAAAAATTAAAAAATTTAAAAATTAAAAAAAAAAAAAAAAAAAAAAAACAGCCACCGGCTGTCTGCACTGGACAGCTAGTGGCTATCTTCATTCTTCACGACCGTCTAAGGAAGGCGGCCATGGACGTCTGGCTGTCTTCCTTAGACGGCCGTGCGGCCACTGCTGTCCATGAAGAAAGAAGACAACCACCGACTGTCCGGCGCGGACAACCGGTGGCTGTTTTTTTTTTTTTTTTTTTTTTTTTTTTTTTTTTTAAATTTTAAAATATTATTATTTTTTAAATTAATTAATAAAAAAATAATATTTTTAATAAATAAAAAGTATTTATTTTTAAAAATAAAATAAGAAAGACACCCCAACACCATATCGATTTAACCTATTAAACAAGTCATATTGGACTTAATTGAACAATTTTACAGGTTTAGGGGACTTGAATTGAACTTTTTTCACTTAGGGGACCCAATTGCACTATCCACTTGATTTAGGGGGCCAATTTGACACTTTTCCCTATAAAGAATAGTAAATCAAGGTACACATATTCATATTGATGCTTTTTGACATGAAGTCATCATACTTGAGACAATAAAAATGTTAAATAATTTTTCATGATATAAAATACCCTGATCCACATGAACTCCAGAAGAGTGATAAAATATTTGTCCAGAAGATTTGCTCTAGTGACAAGTTAGCAAATGTATACCTACAAAATATCTATAAGATTGATATGTGTAGGTAAAGAAAATTATTGGTCCAGATAATCATGAGAAAATATGATAAATTCTAATGACAATTCTAAATATTGTACCATACCCCTTCTCTATACCCTTTTGAAACAATTATTTTACTTTCAATGCAGAATTTGAAAATTGTTATCTTCAAGGGGAGACGTGAAGTACATTCACTTGAGTCAATCCTGTAGATTGGGTCTTAAAAGGATTAATAGTTATACTTTTTTGCAGCATATATACATACCATGTATTCTTTTCCTCACTAAGTTTTTCCCAATGGATTTTTCTAGTGTGGTTTTTAACGAGGTATGCGTATTGATATATTAATGGGGGAGTTGTATATAAATACTTAAATACATACATCACAAAATCCTGAAGATTATGTCTTAAAGGTAAATATTTAAATAAACAAACCCAAAATCCTGAAGATTATGCATTGAAGGCTTATAGTTGTACCCTTTTTTCCTTAACTAAGTTTTTCCCACGAGGTTTTCTAAGTTAAGATTTTTAACGAGACAATCAATACAATATATGAGTTTACAAGTATCATGTACTCTTTTCTTCAACTAGGGATGGCAACGGGGCGGGGCGGGGGCGGGGAGTATACTCCCCGTCCTCGTTTCCGCGACTCCGTCCCCATCCCCGTCCCCTGGCGGGGAATTGAAAATGTTCCCCATTCCCGTCCCCGCGGGAAATTAGACGGGGTCGGGGATTCCCCATTCCCCGTCAACTCCTACTCAAAATGTTAAATAATTTTAATATATATATATATATATATATATATATATATATATATATATATATATATATATATACACACACACACACTAACAATATATTATATATATACTCTAACAACATTAATTAGTATACTGTTAGTATAAAATATATATACTGTGTTAAAATATATAAAACATATATATATATATATATATATATATATATATATATATATATATATATATATATATATATATATATATATAATTATTCGGGGACGGGGCGGGGAGGGGTATCCCTGTCCCCGTTCCCGGCGGGGATTCACACATATTCTCCGTCCCCGTCCCCGTTCCCCGAAAATTTTTCCCATCTCCGTCTCTTTCGGGGCGGGGATCGGGGATCCCCGTCGGGGACGGGGCACATTGCCATCCCTATCTTCAACTAGGTTTTTCTCACGTGGTTTTCCTAGTGAAGTTTTTAACGAGGCATGAATGTATTTAAATATACAATCGGTATACCTTGTACTATTTTCTTGTTTAGATTTTCCTAGCATGTTTTGAACGAGGCAAGATCGTCGCCAAATAATGTCCAAAAAAGAGTGTTTAGATTCCTTCATTTTCCTTGGGATTCTCAATCTTCGGGGAAGGAGGGGTGTTCGGAGAAGGGGTTTTCGTTTTGAGATGGCATGGCTACATGATGAGGGGTGTAGGGAGGTGGTGGAGAAATCATGGGGCGAGGGAAGGACCAGGGGGTTGCAGGAGTGTGTCACTCTATGTGGTGATCGGTTAACACGCTGGGGTGGAGACCGATTCCATAAGTTTGGTGAGAAAATATTGAGTTTACGTAAGGAACAGATGCGCCTAAGGGGGTGTACGGATCCGGTATCCCTAGCTGAGTTTCGAAGACTAGATGAATGTTTGGCTCGTATTGAGTTACAGGAGGATACGTACTGGAGGCAGAGGGCCAAACAGCATTGGCTCAAGGATGCGGATTCAAACACCAGGTTTTACCACAGGTATGCTTCTCATCGAAAGAAAAAGAATGCTATTACTAAAATTATGAATAGTGATGGGGATTAGATTGAGGGGGATGCCATGACAAATGTAATCTTGGATTATTATCGTGGTATTTTTAACTCGAGTACTCCTACTATTGATGATGAGTTCTTTGGGAGTATACATTCACGTGTAACAGGCATACAAAATGAGAGTTTATTGCGCCCTTTTGAAGAGAAGGAGGTTAAATCTGCATTGTTCTCGATGTATCCTGATAAAGCACCAGGCCCGGATGGTATGAACCCTGGGTTTTATCAGCACTTTTGGGATGTAGTGGGTACTGATGTTTCTTCTTATATTCTGAATTGTTTGAATACTTGCTCAATGCCTGATAAGTTTAATGAAACGAATATTATTTTGATCCCCAAGAAGAAAACCCCGGAAATGGTTTCTGATTATAGGCCAATTGCTTTGAGTAATGTCGTTTACAGAGTTATGGCAAAGGTAATTACAGCTAGGATGAAACCACTAATGGAGAGTATTATATCAGAATCCCAGAGTGCATTTATATCTGGAAGACTAATTACAGATAATATCTTGATAGCTGCGGAAGTTGGCCATTTTTTGAACAGGAAGCAGTGTGGACTAACAGGTTGGGGGGCTTTAAAGCTGGATATGGCTAAGGCTTATGACCGTATGGAATGGTCTTTTTTGGAAAGGATGCTAAGGGCACTGGGATTTGATGAAAGATGGATAGAGTTACTGATGATGTGTGTAACCACTGTGTCTTACAGTGTACTAGTAAATGGTTCGAGGACTGATAAAATAACCCCGACTCGTGGTTTAAGGCAAGGTGATCCCCTGTCACCTTATTTGTTTATTATTTGTGCTGAGGGGCTTTCAATTTTTTTACAACAGGCACAGGCAAACGGAGAGATACATGGATGTAGAGTGGCAAGAGGAGCTCCCTCCATTACCCACCTATTCTTTGCTGATGATAGCCTGCTTTTTTTCAAAGCAAATGCTCAAGAGGCGGGTGTGGTAAAACGTTGTTTATCGGAATATGAAAAGATGTCTGGCCAGGCAGTTAACTATCACAAATCAAACATTTATTATAGTAAGAATACTCGAGCTGAAATAAGAGAGGAGATTGCTGATATGTTGGGAGTAGTGCAGGCTCAGAATTTTGGGAAATATTTGGGGCTTCCATCATTTGTGGGCAGGAATAGAAAGGTGGCATTTTCATATATTGAAGATAAGATAAGGCAGATGATTAACTCGTGGAATAAGAAACTTTTGTCACAGGCAGGAAAAGAAGTTTTATTGAAAAGTGTGGCACAGTCTATGCCTACCTTTTCAATGAGCATTTTTCTACTCCCTATGACTCTGTGTACTGCCATTGAACGAACCATGAATCGATATTGGTGGAGGTCGAGAGATGACCAGGGTATTCATTGGAAAGCTCGGGATAAACTGTGTATCCCAAAGGAATATGGAGGATTGGGGTTCAAAGAGTTGCGTGCCTTTAACCTTGCAATGTTGGGCAAGCAAGCGTGGCGCTTTCTGACACAGCCTCATTCATTGGTTTCAAGAGTATATAAAGCCAGGTACTATCCCACTAATTCTTTCTATGAAGCATGCTTGGGGAATAACCCAAGTTTTTGTTGGCGAAGTATTTTGGCAGCACAAGATTTGATTTGTGGAGGGGTTAGGAGCAGGATTGGGGATGGAAAATCAACTTTGATTTGGGACCACCCATGGTTACAAGATATGAGTCACCCGAAAATTGTAACAGAAAAACCACCCCAATTGGCACAGACAAAGGTGATGGGACTGATGGACCAGCAGACAGGTACATGGGATCAGGAAATACTAACTGATATCTTGGATCCTGAGGATGTAGAGCGAGTTTTAAAAATACCTGTGTCACCAGATTATGAGGATTTGTGGTATTGGTATGGGGACCCAAACGGAGAATATTCGGTTAAAAATGGTTATAGAATAATAGTAGGTGACTACACCCAAACGGTTGGGGCATTTGATAAATGGAAAGTATTATGGAAGCTTAAAGCCCCCCCAAAATGGAAAACATTTCTATGGAGAGCTCTGAATGATATTTTGCCCACTACGAAGAATTTACTTATAAAGAGAGTTGATATTGATCCAACATGTGCCATGTGTGGGATTGGGCATGAAGATATTGTGCATTCGTTGATCACATGTGATTATTCGACAAACATTTGGGCACAATCCCACCTTCCAATCCCAAATAGTGTCACAAATATTTTCAGTGATTGGTTTAATGATTTGATGAATATTTTAGATAATGATGGAATTATTTATGCAGTGGCACTCTTATACTATATTTGGCGTGCAAGGAATGGAGCTGTATGGGAGGCAGCCTTGCCCAGGCCTCGGAAAATAATTGCAATGGCATCATCAGCTGTGAATGCTTGGAAATTAGCCCATCCTGGTCTGCGTTTGCTGGCCACCTCAGCGGCATCAACCAGCCGGACTGCCACCGTGGTGGACAGCCATACGACTACAGCGATTTCCTCGGCAACTCCCAACATTACTGCTGTGCAGATTACACCGCAGCAGCCAACACCGATCATGGAATTCCAACCCACACGACATATGAGGAATCAATGTTACTTCGATGCGGCGTACGACCCACAGACAAACAAAGCAGCGGTAGGAGCTATTATTTTAAGTTGGCAAGGACATTATATTTCGGCTATGACTGCCCCAATGATAAACTGTTTTTCACCACTAATGGCGGAGGCCTATGCATGCAAGGAAGTTTTGTCGTGGCTAAGAAGTCGCGAAATAAAGTCTATCGACCTCTTCACGGATTGTTTGGTACTTCAACAATACCTATCATCTATGACACACTCGTCAAGATCGTACTTGGGATATGCCATTGATAGTTGCAGGACTAGTATCTTATCTTTTGATTGTTGTTTACTTCATTATGTTCCTAGACTAGATAATTATTTAGCTCATACTTTAGCATCTACTGCTTTTACTCAGTCAACTAGTATGTACTCGGACTATGATCCGCCAGCATCTATTTCTGCATATTTTCAATAAATGCCGTACAGGCTCCTTTCAAAAAAAAATACTATTAAGTGTGGACATTATTGTAATGATTATAACATTTGTAACAACCAGCATTATTATTGTTACTAATATTAGTATATATTATATATACGTTGTATCCCCTATTTTGTATAGATGATGATGAATGGAAATTACTGTTACTCTCTCAACATTGTTTTCTTCTTCCTTTGTATTGTTTCTATTTTTTTCATTATACAATATGATCCGTTTCTCCGGGGATGGCTACAAGCTAAAGAAAATAATTATAATAATTTTTTGATAAATTACACATTGCATTATTGATCATAGTTCATTATTATAATATTGTATATTCATTAAAAAGTATCATTATAATTTTTTATAAATAAAATTAATGTTACAAAATATATTATAAAAAATATCTCATTTTATATTTTGTGAATAATACACATATTAATATATTTTAAATCTTAGTGGTTTATTGATGGACTTGTGGTATTAATAAAATGAACCCTATATTGTGAAAATGAACATTTTTTTTTTTGAAAATAACATTTAATATTCTTTTAAAAGACTTATTTTAAGTTCATCAGAATTATATATAGTGTAGTTGCATTATTGTTCGAAAAATGAATCTTGTAAAAATTTGCACGACACAATTTATTAGAAATTGAAATGTAACCTGTAATTGATCGTCTTCTTGCAAGCACGTGTCTCTCATTTCAATCACCGCTACTCCGGTTGTATTGAAAAGACATTGTGGTCTGGGGAAGGTTTGTGATATAAGAATGGAAATGTGAGTAGGGGCAAATTTCCCATTCCCATTTCTATCCCCGGCCTTGATCAATCCCAAATCAAAATATTAAATTAGTGTAATTTTTAGTAATCAAATAACAAAATTGAAAACCTTTTATATATATATATATATATATATATATATATATATATATATATATATATATATATATATATATATATATATATATAGGGGCGCGCTAAGGTGAAAATGAATGCCCAGGAAAGAAATGAGAATCAATTGCAATCGTCTACGTGTCTAGATTATTTAATGGATCAAATTTAATTTTTTTTTTTTTATAAAAGAGACGGTCTTATTTTCGTAAATAACTCAAACTTTGATGCAAGTAAAATGTGTTAAACGTACACGCAACTAGTGCGCAAGTGTGCAAGTAATTTACCTTTTTAACATTAGTGCCCGTTTTTTTCAAATTAAGAATTTCTTAGGCTACACCTCTAGATGACGATGATTTCTCGGTTAGTCTTTTAAATAAACTCATTTTAGAAAATCACGTTGCTGACATTAACATTGATGAGGCAAATGATGAAATTTTGCAACAATACGTGTGTTGCATTATTTTATTATTTATGGGCGAGTTGTTATTTCCTGAAACATCCCAAAATAAGATAAAATTATGTCTATTGGATAAATTAGAGGACCTTTTTACTGCCGGGAAATATAGTTGGGGATCAGCAATGCTCTCATACTTATACAGAGCACTTTGTAGAGCGGCAAATTACGAGCATTCCGTTGTTGGGGGTTGCCTAACATTGTTACAGTTGTGGGCGTGGAGCGATTGCCTTGTACATGTTCTGCTAGCGTACTTCCACTCATGAACATAAATGATGGACCTTATGGTGCACGATATGTTTGCTAATTTACATCAACATTAAATATACCTTAAGTTTCAAAAGTGAACTAAACACATTTTATTTCATTTACAGTTAGCATAGTAGTAAGCGTTTGATTTTAATAAATTTTATACTCCACATTTTATACAAAAAATATATACAGGATATTACTTTAAAAATTCTATATATAATACTAAAAGTAATAGTTTGTAAAACTATTATTTTAGTTATAAAATTTTTATTGTATATTATTATTTGCATCTTACAGAATGAGACTAATCTAGCGAAATAATATTTGATTATCATTAAGAACAACTTTGTCCCTCTCATTTCAACGATTCAGTTATTTCTATCAGCCTAAACTCATCCCGCTTAGCTTCCAGACCTCTTTATAACAGATTTTCCCTCCCTCTCTCTCTCTCTCTCTGGTAAACCTGCTCGTTAGAAGGAATGGGGAATGAACATAGTCGGCATACAAGTCAATACACTCAAACTGCGACTACTGCGAGTGATGATGATGGTGAGTCCAAATTTCTGATCGATGAAACCAAGCTCCAGTATGGATATGTAATCAGTAAGGGTGAGAACACCACCGTTTACGTCGGAACGTAAGTCTCCTCTTTGATCATGGAGTGCCATTTCTGATTCTATGTTTATTGTTTATATATTCAAAATTTGGTTGAGGAAATGATAAATGTGGCCACTATCTGTTCGAAATTAAATTCAATTCGTTATTCTTCAATTCTTATGGTAAATTTGTTCTTGACCTTTCTTGAGCTTTAATTTGATTGAGCGTTCTGAATTATTCTGGCTTCTATTGAAAATCTAGCTCGGATTTATGTACTGTACAGTGAATTAAGTCTATTCTCTGTTAGAGTGAAGTTTCGCTATAGATTTTACCTCTGATCTGACTTCTTTATCAATAGAAGTAGCTGAAGAGATAGTAGTGAGCTTAAATTTATAGATTAAGTCTGTTCTCGATCTGTTGTGTTGTAAATGATGTTCAGAAAGTAGAGAGAAATAACACGATTTTGCCTCTGTTAATCAATAGAAGTAGGTGAAGAGATGGTAATGAGCTTAAATTTATAGATTAGTCTGTTCTCCTTTCAAAAAAAAAAATAGATTAAGTCTGTTCTCGATCTGTTGTGTTGTAAATGATGTTCATAAAGTAGAGAGAAATAACACGATTTTGCCTTTGTTTATCAATAAAAGTAGTGAGCTTAAATTTATAGATTGCTGATTAGTTACTTAGAGTTGAGATTAAGTGTTATGTGTGACAGATATATGGACAAAACTGTTGCCATAAAAGTAATAGAGAAAGAAAAAGGCAAAACGTGAGTCCTCTTCGAAAAGAGAGATTTCTGAGGGAGGTCAGGTTGCTTGCTGCGGCCAAGCATGACAACATTCTGATGGTAGTTATTCTTCTTCTTCTTTTTGTAATATATTCGATGAAATGTGTTGTTTCATGGTTGAGCAGTTTATTGGGTTCAGTCTGGAACCAGCCTTGACATTAGTTACAGAACTCATGAAAGGAGGTTCACTTCAATGGCACTTATGGAACATCAGACCAGTCACCATAGAATGCAAGGAAGCTTTAGTTATGGCATTAGAAATCTCTCGCGCAATGGCATATTTGCATGAAAATGGCATCATTCATCGCGACTTGAAGCCCAGTAAGTAATTTTTTGCAGGCCTAACTTTGGTGCTAGTTATTCTGCTTATTAGTCATCAAGCTAATTATATAATTTTCTTGATCTCTTCTTGGATTGCAGATAATATTTTTCTATCAGAAAGCAAGAAGAGTGTGAAGCTTGGGGACTTTGGGCTGTGTAGGGAGGGTCTGGAAGGTGATTTTTCTACTGATGTTGGAAGCTATCGCTGGATGGCTCCTGAGGTAGCAACTTTAATTTATTAACCATTCATCCAATCAAATCCATATGTGTCTACCTGCATCATCATATATATATCAGGTGTATAGTAGGGAGCAGCATGGAATCACAAGCTTAACGACGAGATACAATCATAAGGTGGATGTATATAGTTTCGCTTTTGTTGTGTGGGAGATGTTCACAAACAGGACTCCTTTCCAGGGCAAGGATAACAACATGATTGCAAGAGCTGTAATTAATGTATGTATGCAAATTAAATGCAGACTTCAATTCATTTACTCTTTCATTTCCGGGCAGTTATATTGATTGTTTTTTTTTTTTTTAATCCATTTCATTTCATTTCAGAATGAGAGGCCTGGCCTGGATGAGGAGCATATTCCGTCAGGCATTCATTCCTTACTGGAATCCTGCTGGTCAATTGATCCACTACGACGACCAGAGTTTTCGCAAATCTCAAAATTACTAGAAGAATTGCTGAACCAAAATTACTAGAGCCCGGTTGGGACAGTATAGAACCCAGTATCCTAGCTAGCCGGCCTGAAACTTTGTGGGTTAAGACTAAGAAGATCAGCACAAGACTGTGCTCCTATTGTCCTAGTTGTCATCATTCATTCCGCCCGCTGCTGTTTTTTCCTTAAGAGTGGCATCTGCAAGTGTCTTTAAATTCTGCTGCTGCATATAAGATACATACATACATACAGGGTGGTTGTGCTTCTTGATTGGCATATACTTGTACATTACACTTCATTCTTGGTTCTTGGCAGATTACATTTACTGCACAATAAAGCAATATAATCTGTTAAGACTGTCTATTCTTGGTCTTTCTGTTTTACTGTTTTCTGCCATATACTATTTTACTTTGATGATTTGATTAAGGGTCAAGGCTAGCTTCCAGCAGAATGTTTAGACCATTTAATTTATATGTTATTTGGATTAAAAGTGGGCTTAGATTTTTAATTACTAGGCACCATTTTCCCTATGGAGTACTAACTCATTAATCTTTTATTTTAAAAGTCTTAACTGTGGTGCAGTCAAAATAAAAAAATAAGTTAGATGGATATATGGAATTAAAAATTAAAGCAAACTTAAACCACAGAACTTTCAAATTAGATTTTTCTATGATTCACTATAGAATTTATATGTAACACTTTGACATTTTCTGCAATTGTTAATTTAACATTATACATATTCATTTTTAGTATACTATAATATATTTTTGTTGTAATCTTGATTCCTATTACCCCTTGCATTCTCCGAATCATCTCGTCATTACTTTACTATGCTCTCGCTTTGTCATAGCGACTATTAAGTTATGAGATGATATAAGGAATAGTAAATCTAAGGTACACATTCATATTGATACTTTTTGACATGAAGTCATCACACTTGAGACAAATAAAAACGTATATAATTTTTACATCATAGATTGTAAGAATTTACAATTTTTGTATTGTACAGTACACATAGAATCAATTGTAACAATACACATATATTGAAATAAAAAACGAAGTTATATTATGTTAATTGTATGTATATTTTGAGTGCACAATTTTTATTTTTTGCTTATACGGATTAATACACAAACTATTTTATCAATTTGCATACAAAACAGTCTAAAAACAAAATACTTACAACAAATAAGGTGTCTTTTTTTTTTTTTTTTTTTTTTTTTTTTTTTTTAAACTTTGGAATCGGAAAAGCTAGCGTGATTGATAGGGTGTCAGTCACGCCATTCCAATTGACGTGACCAACACTGCGGGCAACAACTAATCACGTCGTTTGAAATGTTGACTGACGCAGCGCGCCAGTTGCTACGTCAATGAACTCCGACTGACGCATTGGCTTGTAGTCACACCAGACTGACGTGACCATACTTATGGTCACGTCAGTTTGGCTTAAGGAACACGTATAGCAGTGTGTATGTATAAATATAACTCTTATAAATCTTCAAAAATTAAGCACTACTCTCTTAATCAGAAAATTGAAGCGCTACTCTCTAATATGAGGCGAAATTATTTACATCACAGTCCAATTGATACCACTTTGTTAACTTATCAAAAGTTTCATCGATCAGAGTCGGTATAGGCGAATCCAGAGTGCAAAACGCAATTGTCATCTGTACATTATGCGAGTGGTGCATTTCGTAACGTTTGTTTGAATGAACGTGTACTAGATTTGTTACGCGAATAAGGTTTTCTTTCAATGACACAGTTCGGTAACATGAAACTTGACCCTCACCTAATCACTGAATTAGTTGAGAGGTGGCGGCCTGAGGTACATGCGTTCCACATGCCGTTTGGTGAGGTAACAATTACTCCACAAAATGTTGAAGTCCTTTTATGTCTAAAAGGCCATTGGTTGGGAATATTGAAAAAACAATAGAAGCTTGTTTTTTTCAAATTCAACATTTCTTAGGTTTTACACCTCTAGACGACGATGATTTCTCGGTTAGTCTTTTAAATAAACTCGTTTTAGAAAATCATGTTGGTGCCATTAACATTGATGAGCAAATGATGAAATTTTGCAACAATACGTGCGTGACATTATTTTATTATTTATGGGCTGATTGTTATTTCCAGAAACATCTCGAAATAAGATAAAATTATGTCTATTGAATAAATTAGAGGACCTTTCTACTGTCGGACAATATAGTTGGGGATCGACAGTGCTCTCATACTTATACAGAGCACTTTGTAGAGTGGCAAATTACGAGCATTCCGTTGTTGGGGTTGCCTAACTTTGTTACAGTTGTGGGCATGGGAGCGATTGCCTTGTACACGTCCTGCTGACGTGCTTCCACTCATGAACATAAATAATGGACCTTATGGTGCACGGTATGTTTGCTAATTTACATCAACATTGAATATACCTTAAGTTTCAAAAGTAAACTAAACACATTTTATTTCATTTACAGGTAGCATAGTAGTAAGCGTTTGATTTTAATAAATTTTATACTCCACATTTATACAAAAAATATATACAAAATATTACTTTAAAAATTCTATATATAGAATACTAAAAGTAATAGTTTTACAAACTATTATTTTAGTTATAAAAATTTTATTGTATATTATTATTTGCATCTTACAAAATGAGACTAATCTAGTGAAATAATATTAATTGAGTATAAGAACAACTTTATCCCATATATTAAATGATTATATAACAGATTTTCCCTCTCATTTCAACGATTCAGTTATTTCTATCAGCCTAAACTCATCCCGCTTCTAGACCTCTTTATAACAGATTTTCCCTCCCTCCCTCTCTCTCTCTCTCTCTCTCTCTCTCTCTCTCTCTCTGGTAAACCTGCTCGTAAGAAGGAATGGGGAATGAACTTAGTTGGCTTAAAGGTCTATACACTCAAAATGAGAGTGATGATGATGATGATGATGATGAGTCCAAATTTCTGATCGATGAAACCGAGCTCTATTATGGAGTCCAAATCAGTCAGGGTGTGAGCACCACAGTTTACTTCGGAACGTAAGTCTCCTCTTTGATTCTTGGAGTGCCATTTCTGATTCTATGTTTATTGTTTATATATTCAAAATTTGGTGGAGGAAATGATAAATGTGGCCACTATCTGTTCGAAATTCAATTCAATTCATTATTCTTCAATTCTTATGGTAAATTTGTTCTTGAACTTCCTTGTGCTGTAATTTGATTGAGCGTTCTGAATTAAGTCTGTTCTCTGAAATGACTTCTTTATCAATAGAAGTAGAGTGAAGTCTGTTCTCGATCTGTTGTGCTGTAAATGATGTTCAGAAAGTAGAGAGAAATAACACGATTTTGCCTCTGTTTATCAATAGAAGTAGTGAGCTTAAATTTATAGATTGCTGATTAATTAGTTACATAGAGTTGAGATTAAGTTTTATGTGTGACAGATATATGGACAAATCTGTTGCCATAAAAGTAATAGAGACAGAAAAAGGCACAGATGAGAGTCCTCAAAAAGAGAGATTTCTGAGGGAGGTCAAGTTGCTTGCTGCGGCCAAGCATGACAACATTCTGAAGGTAGTTATTCTTTTTTTTTTTTTTTTTTGCAATATATCTTTTCTGGGGATATGATCGATGAAATGTGTTGTTTCATGGTTGAGCAGTTTATTGCGTACAGCGTGGAACCAGCCATGAGATTAGTTACAGAAATGATGACAGGAGGTTCACTTCAAAGGCACTTATGGCACATCAAACCAGCAACTATGGACCGCAAGGATGCTTTAGTTATGGCATTAGAAATCTCTCGCGCAATGGCATATTTGCATGAAAATGGCATCATTCATCGCAACTTGAATCCCAGTAAGTAATTTTCTGCAGGCCTAACTTTGCTGCTAGCTATTCTGCTAATTATATAATTTTCTTGATCTCTTCTTGGATTGCAGATAATATTTTTCTATCAGAAAGCAAGAAGAGTGTGAAGGTTGGGGACTTTGGGCTGTGTCGGGAGGGTCTGGAAGGTGATTTTTCTACTGATGTCGGAAGCTATCGCTGGATGGCTCCTGAGGTAGCAACTTTAATTTATTAACCATTCATCCAATCAAATCCATATAGGTATTTTTTTTTATTAAGGTGTATGTATGTGTCTGCCTGCATCATCATATATATCAGGTGTATAGTAGGGAGCTGCATGGAATCACAAGCTTAACGACGAGATACAATCATAAGGTGGATGTATATAGTTTCGCTTTTGTTGTGTGGGAGATGTTCACAAACAAGACTCCTTTCGAGGACATGGATAACAAAATGATTGAAACAGCTGTAATGAATGTATGTATGCAAATTAAATGCAGATTTCAATGCATTTCCGGCCAGTAGCAGTTATATTGATTATTTCCATTTCATTTCAGAATGAGAGGCCTATCCTGGAACAGGAGGTTATTCCATTAGGCATTCAAACCTTACTGGAATCCTGCTGGTCAAATGATCCACAACAACGACCAGAGTTTTCGAAAATCTCAAAATTACTAGAAGAATTGCTGAACCAAATTGAGCCCGGTTGGGACAGTATCCCAGCTAGCCAGCCCGAAAATTTGTGGGGTAAGATCAGCAAAAGAGTGTGCTCCTGTTGTCATTGGATCCGCATAAGACTCTGCTGCTGTTGTCCTAGTTTTCATTGGATCCGGACAAGACTGTGCTGCTGTTGTCCTAGTTTTCGTTCAATCCCCAAGTTTCTGAGCTCCTGTTGTCCTAGTTTTCGTTCAATCCGCAACTTTCTCCGCAAAAATTGACCTCCAAGCTCGCTGCTGTTTCTAGATTGGCATATAATTGTACAGTTCAAATGAATGGTTCTGTTCTTTGCAGACTATTACTGCACAATAAAACAATATAATCTGTTAGACTGTCTATTCTTGGTCTTTTTGTTTTACTGTTTTCTGCCATATACTATTTTACTTTGATGATTTGATTAAGGGTCAAGGCTTCCCAGCAGAATGTTTAGACCATTTGATTTATATGTTATTTGGGTTAATTTGGAGTACTAACTCATTATCTATTATAAAAGTCTAGATTTAATTACTAAGACACCATTTCCCCTTTTAATAATATGGAGTACTAACTCATTATATCTATTATAAAAGTCTATAAACACGACGAAGATATATTAAACTAAATCAAGGTCAGTACATGAGAAATAGAAAGAAAAGGAATTGAAAAGCAATTCACACAATCTGACTTGAATAGAGCTTCCCTAGCAAGGACGTGGACAACCCTATTCACTGACTGTTTAACAAAAGTGAAGCTAAGTTTAACACTCTCTAGCTAGTACTCTAACATCATTGATGAGGAGATCAAAGTAAGAAATAAGTTGATCACTAAGAAATAAGTTGATCAAAGTAACAAACTTGATCTTAATATAAATTCTGCATTTCTTAATGTACTGTATAGCAGCCCACTATTCCTTGGGCAGGGGCATATAATCCTAAGCATGATTGCAGTAGGCGCTAGTCAGGTATCCGGACAGCGCCTAACGCCTAGACGGACTAGGTGGCGCCTGGCGAAATCTAGGCGGACGCTAAAAAAATAGTGAGAGACTTGTAGTTTGACAATTTAAATGAGGCTGTTTTCAACATTCAATCAAATAACACATCCAAATAAATGAAATAATGATAATTCAAAAGTCATAACATCAAAATAATATTAAAAAATAAAAATACTTAAATATGAAATACTCAAATACTTCAATCATCCAAAGATTCAAAGTATTAAATTAGTCTACGGACGGCGGGACCAGACGACATCGGACGAAATCGACCGACTCAGCTGAGTTGGCCGACTAGGCCGATTTCGGCGCCTAGACGCCCGGCCGATTTTTGTGCGCCTAATAGTGAAAGCGGAACGACCTAGGGGCGCCTAGCGCCTATACTAGGCCGATTTTTACAACAGTGATCCTAAGTAGGCGGAAGCCATGACAATTAGAGAAGCATTGGGTTGGGTTAAAGGAAGAGGAGATAACAAGATTTATGTGGAGATCGACTGTTTACAAGTTGTTCAAGGTCTATGTGCAAATGTGGGAGAGTCTTCCTTTTCTTTACTTTTACATGATATTACAAAAATGACGAAATGTTTTAATCATATAATATCATTAGGTTTGTTAGAGGATATGTGAACCATACTGCTCATATCCTAGCTTGTAAGGGAGCCAGTTTCTTTGTCAGATTGTATGGAGTGGTGTGTATGTACCCTATGTAATGTTCTCCATTTGATATGAGTTAAAGTAAACGTTTTTTTTTTTTTTTGTTGCAAAAAAAGAAAAATAAATAAATAAAAGTAAGCGTTTAATTTGATCATAACAAGTTTTATACTCCACATTTTATACAAAAATACATATAAAATATTACTTTAAAAATTCTATAACACTAACGGGGCGTTTGGTTGGAGGAAAGGAATTAGGTGGGAAATGAATTGTAATTTCATGTGAAAAGAATAATGTGGAAATAAAGTATGAGTTTAAATTCCATTTTTAATTTTATTATAATAAAAAAAATTCATCCGTGCATCGGATGGGTAATTGGACAATTATTTGTTCGAATTTAAGCCATGACAATATCAGAAAATATAATCGATCCAACCCATTTCATCAATTACACTATATAATATTCGTTGTTATAATTGATATAATTGTATCTCGATCCAAATATTTTTAAAAATTCATAACAAATTCATTCCATGTGACGCACATGTTAAAATACTATTTGTAAAGAAACATAATTTTTTTACACATTCTCTAACCTCCAAATATGGCCATATCTCCCCGATACCCATCCAAACACATCCATAAATATAACAGATTTTCCCTCTCATTTCAACTATTCAGTTATTCAGTTAGAAGGAATGGGAAATAAACTTAGTCGGCTTAGAAGTCTGCACATCAAAGATGAAACTAAGCTCCGTAAAGAAGGTATAATCAGTCGGAATAACAACACCACCGTTTACAATGGAAAGTAAGTCTCCTCTTTGATTCATGGAGCGCAGCGCCATTTCTGATTCTAAGTTTATTGTAGTTTATAGATTCAAATTTTGGTTGAGGAAATGATAAATGTGGCCACTATCTATCTGTTCGAAATTAAATTCAATTCATATATTATTCTTCAATTCTTTGCGGCGTTAATGGTAAATTTGTTAGTTCTTGAGCTTTAATTTCAGCGATCTGAATTATTCTGGTTTCTATTGAAAATCTAGCTCGGATTTTTCCGTGTTCAGTGAATTTAGTCTGTTCTCGATCTGTTGTGTTGTAAATGATGTCCAGAAAATCTAGCTGGGATTTTGCCTTTGTTTATTAATAGATTGGCGATTAGAGTTGAGATTAAGTGTTATGTGTGACAGATATATGGACGAAGCTGTTGCCATAAAAGTAATACAGAAAGAAAGAGGGACAAATGTGTGTAGTCATCGAAGAAGGAAATTTGTGAGGGAGGTCAGGGCTCTTTCTGCGGCCAAGCATGACAACATTGTGAAGGTAGTTATTCTTTTGTTTTTGTAATATATTCATTGTCTGGAGATATGATTGATGAAATGTGTTGTTTGAGCAGATTATTGGGTTCAGCATGAGACCAGCCATGACATTAGTTACAGAACTCATGAAAGGAGGTTCACTTCAATGGCACTTATGGAACATCAGACCAGCCACCATAGAACGCAAGGAAGCTTTAGTTATGGCATTAGAAATCTCTCGCGCAATGGCATATTTGCATGAAAAAGGCATCATTCATCGCAACTTGAATCCCTGTAAGTAATTTTCTGCTGCTAGCTATTCTGCTTATTAGTCATCAAGCTAATTATATTCTTGGATTGCAGATAATATTTTTCTATCAGAAAGCAAGAAGAGTGTGAAGCTTGGGGACTTTGCGCGGTGTAAGGAGGGTTTGGATGGTGATTATTCTACTGATGTTGGAAGCTATCGCTGGATGGCTCCTGAGGTATCTAGTATTGCAACTTTAATTTATTAACTTCCATCCAATCAAATCCATATTAATTTATGTATGTGTCTGCCTGGATCATCATATATATCAGGTGTATAATAGTGCGCCGTATGGAGTCGGAATATTAAGGGCGAGATACAATCATAAGGTGGATGTATATAGTTTTGCTATTGTTTTCTGGGAGCTGCTCACAAACAAGACTCCTTTCCAGGGCAAGCATAGTAAGGCGATTGTACAAGCTGTAATTAATGTATGTATGCATGCAAATTAAATGCAGACTTCAATTCATTTCCGGCCAGTAGCAGTTTATTGATTTTTTTTTTTTTTTATCCATTTCATTTCATTTCAGAATGAGAGGCCTAGCTTGGATGATCCACATATTCCAAGAGGCCTTCATATCTTACTGCAATCCTGCTGGGCAAATGATCCACAACGACGACCAGAGTTTTCGGAAATCTCAGAATCACTAGAACAATTTCTTAACAGAACTGATCCCGGTTGGAACAGAATAGATCCCACCAGTAGCGTAGCTAGCCCACCGGAAACTTTGATGGGTAAGGCTAAGAAGATCAGCGCAAGACTGTTTTCCCGCAGAAATTGATCTGTTTTTCCTATTTGTCTTTAAGATGTAAGAAACAGGGTGGTTGTACACTACACTTCATTCTTGGTTCTTGGCATATAATTGTACAGTTCATATGAATGGTTCTGTTCTTTGCAGACTATTACTGCACAATAAAACAATATAATCTGTTAGCCTGTCTATTCTTGGTCTTTCTGTTTTACTGTTTTCTGGCATATTCCATTTTACTGTTCACGGCTTCCAGCAGAATGTTTAGACAGTGCACTCAAAACTTAGCTTTCAAATTAGATTTTTCCATGATTGAATTTAGAATTTATATTTAACACTTTTAACACCATAGGTTAATGAAATTGTGATGTTTCTAGTGTATCGTTTTTTTTAATAAATTATATAATGGATCATGATCCGCATTACATTATTGATAATAATTCTTTATTATAATATTGTATATTCATTAAAAAGTATCATTATAATTTTTTATAAATAAAATCAATGTTACAAAATATATTATAAAAAATATCTCATTTTAAATTTTGAATGATACATATATTAATATATTTTAAATCTTTAGTGGTTTATTGATGGACATGCGGTATTAATAAAATGACCCTGTATTGTGAAAACGAACATTTTTTTTTTGAAAAAATGAACATTTAATATTCTTTTAAAAGACTTATTTTAAGTTTGTCAGTATTATATATAGTGTAGTTGATTATTATTCGAAAAATAAATCTTGTAAAAATTTGCATGACACAATTTATTAGAAATTGAAACGTAATCTGTAATTGATCGTCTTTTTGCAAGCATGTGTCTCTCGTTTCAATCACCGCTACTCCGGTTGTGTTGAAAAGACACTGTGGTCTGGGAAAGGTTTGTGATATAAGAAGGGATGGCATGACAACGGGGCGAGGACCCTTTCTCATTCCCATCCCCGTCCTTAATCAATCCCAAATCAAAATACTAAATTAGTGTAATTTTTAATAATCAAATAACAAAATTGAAAATCTTATATATATATATATATATATATATATATATATATATATATATATATATATATATATATATATATATATATATATATATATATATATATATATATATATGGGCGCGCTCAAGTGAAAACGAATGCCCATGAAAGAACTGATGAGAATCAATTGCAACCGTTTACGTGTCCAGATTTAATGGAACAAATGTAATTTTTTTATAAAAGAGACGGTGATATTTTTATAAATAACTCGAACTTTGATACAAGTAACATGCATTAAAAGTACAAGCAACTAGTGCGCAAGTGTGCAAGTAAAACCATTTAAAAGTATAAGTAATTTAACTTTTAAACATTAGTGCACCTAATGATAACGTCTTTCGGATTTATACACTTAATGATAACGTTTGGTGTAATTATTAATAATGTTAGATGCACTTAATATTTATGTTGAGTGTACATTATTTGTTACCCAACTCACATAAGGCAGGTTAGGGATAGAGCATTCCAACTCGGAAGCCTTTGTGAGCAAGATTTCAACTATTCAGTTATATAACAGATTTTCCCTCTCATTTCAACGATTCAGTTATTTCTATCAGCCTAAGCTCATCCCGCTCCCAGACCTCTTTATAACAGATTTTCCCTCCCTCCCTCTCTCTCTCCCTCTCCTTCTCTCTCTCTCTCTGGTAAACCTGCTCGTTAGAAGGAATGGGGAATGGACGTAGTCGGCTTACAAGTCTATACACTCAAACTGCGACTGCGAGTGATGAGTCCAGACTTCTGATCGATGAAAGCAAGCTCCGTTATGAATATGTAATCAGCTACAGTGTGAACACCACCGTTTACGCTGGAACGTAAGTCTCCTCTTTGATTCTTGGAGTGCCGTTTCTGATTCTATGTTTATTGTTTATATATTCGAAATTTGGTTGACAAAATGATAAATGTGGCCACTATCTGATCTGTTCGAGATTAAATTCAGTTCATTATTCTTCAATTCTTTGCGTTAATGGTAAATTTGTTTTTGACCTTTAATTTGAGCGTTCTGAATTCTGGTTTCTATTGAAAATCTAGCTAGCTCGGATTTATCCGTGTAAAGTGAATTAAGTCTGTTCTCGATCTGTTGTGTTGTAAATGATGTTCAGAAAGTAGAGAGAAATAACACGATTTTGCCTCTGTTTATCAATAGAAGTAGGTGAAGAGATGGTAATGAGCTTAAATTTATAGATTAAGTCTGTTCTCGATCTGTTGTGTTGTAAATGATGTTCAGAAAGTAGAGAAAAATAACACGATTTTGCCTCTGTTTATCAATAGAAGTAGTGAGCTTAAATTTATAGATTGCTGATTAGTTACTTAGAGTTGAGATTAAGTGTTATGTGTGACAGATATATGGACAAACCTGTTGCCATAAAAGTAATACAGAAAGAAAAAGGCACAAATGTAAGTCCTTCTCGAAAAGAGAAATTTCTGAGGGAAGTCAGGTTGCTTGCTGCGGCCAAGAATGACAACATTGTGAAGGTAGTTATTCTTTATTATTATTTTTTTTTTGTAATATATTCATTGTCTATCTTTTCTGGAGATATGATCGATGAAATGTGTTGTTTCATGGTTGAGCAGTTTATTGGGTTCAGCCTGGAACCAGCAATGACATTAGTTACAGAAATCATGAAAGGAGGTTCACTTCAAAAACACTTATGGAACATCAGACCATCCACCCTAGACCGCAAGGAAGCTTTAGTTATGGCATTAGAAATCTCTCGCGCAATGGCATATTTGCATGAAAATGGCATCATTCATCGCGACTTGAACCCCAGTAAGTAATTTTCTGCTAGCTATTCTGCTTATTAGTCATCAAGCTAATTAATTTTCTTGATCTCTTCTTGGATTGCAGATAATATTTTTCTATCAGAAAGCAAGAAGAGTGTGAAGCTTGGGGACTTTGGGCTGTGTAGGGAGGGTCTGGAAGGTGATTTTTCTGCTGATGTTGGAAGTTTTCGCTGGATGGCTCCTGAGGTAGTATTGCAACTTTAATTTATTAACCATCCATCCATCCAATCAAATCCATATTAAGATGTATGTATGTGTCTGCCTGCATCATCATATATATCAGGTGTATAGTAGGGAGCAGCATGGAATCACAAGATTAACGACGAGATACAATCATAAGGTGGATGTATATAGTTTCGCTATTGTTTTGTGGGAGCTGCTCACAAACAAGACTCCTTTCCAGGGCAAGGATAATAATGCGATTGCACAAGCTGTAATTAATGTATGTATGCAAATTAAATGCAGACTTCAATTCATTTCCGGCCAGTAGCAGTTTATTGGTTTTTATTTTTTTAATTTCTATCCATTTCATTTCAGAATGAGAGGCCTAGCTTGGATGAGGAGCATATTCCAGATGACATTCATCACTTACTGGAATCCTGCTGGTCAAATGATCCACTACAACGACCAGAGTTTTCGCATATCTCAGAATTACTAGAAGAATTGCTGAACAGAATTGATCCTGGTTGGGACAGAATAGAATCCAGTTTCATAGCTAGCCGACCCGAAACTTTGTGGGGTAAGGCTAAGAAGAGTGTGAAGCTTGGGGACTTTGGGCTGTGTAGGGAGGGTCTGCAAGGAAACTCTCGCTGGATTGCTCCTGAGGTAGCTAGTATTGCAACTTTAATTTATTAACCATCCATCCAATCAAATCCATATTAAGATGTATTTGTCTGCCTGCATCATCATATATATATATATATATATCAGGTGTATAGTAGGGAGCAGCATGAAATCACAAGTATAACGACGAGATACAATCATAAGGTGGATGCATATAGTTTCGCTATTGTTTTGTGGGAGCTGCTCACAAGCAAGACTCCTTTCCAGGGCAAGGATTTTAAAACCATTGCACAAGCTGTAATTAAGGTATGCAAATTAAATGCAGACTTCAATTCATTTACTCTTTCATTTCCAGGGCAGTTATATTGATTTTGTTTATCCGTTTCATTTCATTTCAGAATCAGAGGCCTCGCCTGAATGAGGATGAACTTCCGGAATACATTGTTTTCTTAATGGAACCCAGTTTTGACACAGTGGAATCCAGTTTTAACGTAGTGGATCAGACTGCGCTAGTTAGCGCAACAGTACCGACCATAACTTTGTTCGGTACGACTATCACGGTCCCCACATGCCTTGATAATTGTTATGATTCTATCCTTCTTTGTTGCGATTATATCCACCCAAGCCTGTGCTGCTGTTGTCCTAGTTGTGAGACTATCCAAACAAGTCTCTGCGGCTGTTGTCCTAGTTGTGAGACTATCCAAACAAGACTCTGCTGCTGTTGTCCTAGTTGTGAGACTATCCAAACAAGACTCTGTTGCTGTTGTCCTAGCTGTGATTCTATCTGCAAAATACTGTGCTGCTTTTGTCATAATTGGTATGCTATCCAAGCAACACTCTGCGCCTGTTGTCCTAGTCGTGGTTCTATCCAAACAACACTGGCCTCCTGTTGTCCTACTTGTGAGTCTATCCAAACAAGACTCCACACCTGTTATGAGTCGATCGAAAACATCTGCTGCTGTTGTCCTACTTGGGATTGTGTCTTCACATTACTCACCTGCTGGTGGCCTACTAGGGATTGTATCTTAGAATGGATGGGCTCCTGTTTTGCTGGGTGTGATTCTATCTTCACAAAACTGGGCTCCTGTCTGGGATTGTCTGGGACAGAAGGGGACCGAACTGCTGAACCAAATCGAGCCCGGTTGAGACAGGACTAGAACCCAGGATCCTACCTAGCCGGCCCGAAACTTTGTGGGTTAAGACTAAGAAGATCAGCACAAGACTGTGCTCCTGTTGTCCTAGTTGTCATTCGATCCGGACAAGACTGTGCTGGTGTTGTCCTAGTTTTCATTCGGCCCGAAACTCCTGTTTTTGTCGTCTTCCTTTCTGCAGAAATCGACCTCCAAGCTTGCTGCTGTTTTTTCCTATTAGTCTTTAAATTCTGCTGCAGTGCAGTGCTGCATATAAGATACATACATACATACAGGGTGGTTGTGCTTCTTGATTGGCATATACTTGTACACTACACTTCATTCTTGGTTCTTGGCAGATTACATTTACTGCACAATAAAACAATATAATCTGTTAGACTGTCTATTCTTGGTCTTTCTGTTTTACTGTTTTCTGCCATATACTATTTTACTTTGATGATTTGATTAAGGGTCAAGGCTAGCTTCCAGCAGAATGTTTAGACCATTTAATTTATATGTTATTTGGATTAAAAGTGGGCTTAGATTTTTAATTACTAGGCACCATTTTCCCTATGGAGTACTAACTGTGGTGCAGTCAAAAAATAAGTTAGATGGATATGGAATTAGAAATTAAAGCAAACTTAAACCACAAAACTTTCAACCTGTTTTTTGGGTTTGCACTAAAGAAATTGTTTTGTTGTCTTTCTTGTAGTTTTTCTCTGTCTTTGGGTTTGCACAGAACGAACTAGATGATTGAGGTTTAAGGTTGGATTTAGCTGATGATTTGAAATCGGTATATATAGGATAACAGTTGAAGAAAATGTTTATATATAGCTGGTCCCTTATAAACTGATGATGGCTTTAACTAGGTTACTAGGGTGACTGCTTTTTATCCTTCTTACTGATTCATTAACCCTATAATGTAACATTTACTTTACCAAATTAAGGTTCTTACTTTAATTTGGATCCGCTATCTTAATTTTAACTTGTAAAAGTAATCAATTAGCTAAATACTTGTCTCATTATAATGTAAATTTTAATGGAGAATCTAACTTCCCTTCTATCGAGGACGACGGGAATGGGAATGAAAGGGTAGGAATGGGGAGTACTAACTCTCCCCGTCCCGCCCCCGAAAACATACATATATAAGCATTCTAACAACACAGACACATGCATATATATGTATTATTCTGTATATAATATATAATTTTTGTAGTACTTTAATTTAAAGATAGATGAATATATATGACTTATTTATTTAAATGTATAATAATTTTTAATATTTTTATAAGTTGTAAACGAAGTAGGAGATTTCCTATTTCCAGATAATCCGTTTAAAAATCGGAACGAAAAAATTTTATCATTCTCCGGTGGGTATGGAGACATGGGTATGGGAGAGAAAGTCGGGGTGGGGACGAGGGTATGCCCCCTTCCTGCACCACGCCCCGCTGATATCTCTAATTAAGATAATTAAACTATGTTAAGAGTATGATATAGACTAACCCATGATGCATGGTGAAGTATTAAGTTGGATGCTGTTAATATTTATATTGTGCACTAAAGCTCACGTAACAAAATAGACCTTGATACATAATTACATATACAATGGACCCTTGGACGTATGAATTAATTTACGAGAAGTTTTTGATTGGACATTTAAAAACAAATCCTTAATCAGAAAATATAAAGATATTCAATTAACACCAAGTTTGAGGTAATTAAAACCAAGCTTAAGCTACAAATTACAAAGGACAAACCCTTAAATTAAAAAGGATATTGTGATTAGGTTGCATATGTTATCTTCATTATCATCTCCACCGAGCTGAGCCCTAACCTAGGATAGGAATGTATGTTGTGTACAAGGATATATAAATCATCACCTCCAAGCTGACGTGGCGACGAGGGCCCTATCATGCCAACAGAGCAACATCTCGGCGTGTCTCTTTGCCACGTGGAACCCTCCAATCTGCACCTTTCCGAGCAATAAGTTAGCCTGAAAGTCAGCAAATTGACTCAAACCCACCGGCCGAAACCCGGCCGCCACAAAAGCCTCCTTCCACGTCATCCCGCGGCCGCCGGCAGCCCCAACCGTCTCCACAATCTTCGGAAACAACACGAAATTCTCAATCTTCTTAATCCAATCTCCGCCGACGTTCGCCGCCTCCAGAGACTCCAAGAGGCCGGAGTAAAACTCCAGCCCTTCAATCACCGTCTGCCGGAAAGACGAAGGTCCGGGCCCCACCACCCCTTCACTGTCCACGTGCACCACCACGTGCGGAGACACCCGACGGAGATCGGCGGCGAACTGCCCCGACCCGACCCGCCGGAAAATTGCCGGAGATAACAACACGACGATCTTTTCTCCGTCTATGAACTTGATAGCTTTGAAAGATAAAAGCTCGAATGTACGGATTAGCACAAAATCTACGTCCAAGCCGATGTTCAGTTCCCGCGCAAACTGAGCCAAATTCTCTCTGATCAGCCGCGACTCCACGGCGTACTCCTCCTGCACCAGAGCCGTTACGCGGAGAATCGGCGGCTTGGTGTGGGTAGACTCGGCTTTATCGGCTAGCTCTTTCATGAAGGAAGCCCAGTGGGAGCCGAAGCCGATATCGAAGTCGATGACGTGGACGAGCATTGCGCCGTCGACGGCTTCCAGCATGGCTTGGTTAGCCGTGAAGCTGGAGAACATGGGAATAGGAGAAATATTGGAAAAGATCTTATAAGCTTTAATGGTCTGAATAACCTCAAAAGAACTCGAAGCGGGGCGAGTTGACCCAGTGAGTAGGGACTGAAGCGCTTCCTTGAAGTAGAAGGCAGCTCGCCGGAGCGGGTTTCCGGCGGCGGAACTCAGCTTCTGATTGAGCTGCGGCAGAATCACCTGCGCGAGCTGGACGGCGTTGGAGTCGAAACACTCGGCGAACTGGATCAACTCGTCGATGTAATCAAATCCAAAGCTCCAGTTTTCATCAAACGAATTAATATTTCCCTGGAATTGTGAGAAATTGAAATCTGAAGAAGGCACGAACTCCGGCAGCGAGTGAGTGAACTCGAACTGATGAGTCTGTGACTCGGAGGAGGGGGTGAAGAGGAGATTATGATCCGGCTTTATATTTCTGTCGTCTTGCAAACCCAACTCCTTCATAAAAGAGTCCCAATCTTCGAAGTTAGTCAGCAAATTATCAGCCAGCTCAAGAGGGTCATCGGAGACATCAAAGTTTCCCGCCGGCGCCGCCTTCTGGTCGAGAACAGGGCTGGGGCTTCGCCGGAGCTCAAGAACCGACTTGGGCTCGTACCACCCGTTCCCGGCAGCGGAGTTCCAGTTTTCATTTGAAGCAACGGGCACTTTCATCTCTCTGAGAATTGAAAGATGAAAGAACGACAAAATCCCTAAGATAACCGCACTTTTAAGTTCTCAGCTCCTTTTAATGGCTCTGAAATATGCGAGCTGAGTGATGGAAAGGGAGAAGAAAAGTTTGAAATGTGAAAGTAAAGGGGAGGGGGCCTGTGCCACTTTGGAGGGTTATTGGGATCAATGGCTTTTTATCTTTGCGTGTGGGAGAGTTGAATTGCAGAGATGCATGGGGGCATAATGTATATGGAGAAGTCATATATGAGAGACATGGTAGGGTATGACACGAGTCAGATCATATCAGAAGATTAGGAGATTGATTGACTTTCATCTTTACAAGGAAGTGTGTTGCTGAAGACTTAAAACCCCATACTTTTTGTTGCACCCTCACCTCGTTTTATTCTTTCCAATAATGCACATCAACCCATCATCCCCTTTACATCATTTACAACTTGTTGAGCTTCTTTAATAATAAATGCCCTTTTATTATAATGTTTCTCTCTCTTTTTTTGGATTTTTTTTAACCTTGTTACAAAAAGGCCCTTACACTCCGGCCCAATAGTTTACTCAATTGATCAATAGATACTAGACTTTTGTTCATTGCGTACAAGGTGTCCCTCTCATTTTTTTTTTTTTTACCTAATTATATCAGCACATAGCCGCTAACCTAGATTACATATAACTGACTAGGTCAAACCAAGAAGGTGAAAAGATAGCTCACATAAAAATCAAACATATAGCGTTGTAGACTAGCTTATAGTTACCAAACTAACTATGAGATGAACTTGGTTAGAGTTGTCCCTCAATATTGTCAACACTTATCCTAGAGTATTTGGCACAATCAATCATACCCTAAGTGGTTATACCTACTACTAACGGATTAGCAAGCAGTTAATGTAATGATTTTTTTAAGGGACTTTATTAAAAATAATAATAAAAAGGAGGAGCAAGGTTCAAGGGCTTAATAGTCCAACCTCCACCCAAAAAATAAATAAATAAAAACACCTAATACAAGCATGCATTCAAAACCGATGACAAGCTAAAGCTGCGCTGCAACTACAAGGAAGTCGGTTAGAAGGTTAAATTAGGCGGATTATAATGTAATGAAAGAAATTGTAAAGGGAGGGGAAAGATAGGTCAAGGGTTGGCTGGTAAAGTTCCATTTGTGTAGTTTTAATTACTTTAGACTTCATTATAAGGTAGGGGACCTCCCCCCTGGACAAAACTTCATGACGCCAAGCAATTTCAATAAGTTGACCACCACTTCTCCATTCGATTCAATCTCACATGAATCTTGCCACTGCAAATTTTTCCATATATTCTTTCATTAAACTTGCAAAAGGAATCATTATTTGCAAAAGTCACTTTCTATGCATTAATCAAGTCTTAGCTAGCTAGTTTTCTTCTGGGTGAGAATTAGGTGTCGTGTACTACTCCTTGACTGGCCTGGTGTCCTCATTCTCGACTGAGTGGTCGAACTTGATCGGACTCATCATCATCAATTCGAGTTTCTAATTAAGACCCGATTTTCTATTTATGGGAATTGTAATTTGGGACAATCAAATTCGAGTTGATATTATGGACTTACACAATAATTTTTGATAATGTTATATATATATATATATATATATATATATATATATATATATATATATATATATATATATATATATATATATATATATTGTGTGGTTTGTTGTGTGACATTGGATATACTGAAAAGGGGGTATTGATGACGCCAGATTCCGGAGATCGATCGGATGATCCCACCGGACAACGAGCATCTCCACGATCGAATCGCACCTCTTGGGGCTCCCATCAACATGCATGCATCAACAATTGAAGGACTAGCTAGGCGGGCATGCCCCACAACTCTATCTAACTTCCACTCCTACTTTCATCTTATTGGTTATCACTATTCACCTCGCCCCCACATGATAACCTACCTTTTTTTAAATATACCCTTCCCATCCTCACCATATGTGGTCCGTCCATTAGTCAAAAAAAAAAAAAAAAAAAAAACACTTTCAACTTAGTATGGAAATGAAATTGGAAAAATGGAGCAATCAGTCAAATTGATCGGACAATTAACTTAATATTTATCTCACAAGATTTTAAATTTAACATTTTATGGAGTTGAGCTGTCTATTAATCTAGCTTCTTGGTTTGAACTGATCAACTATGGACAATTTAGATCAGTATATTTCCTTGTGATTTTTTACTGGTTAGGGTCACATTTGGGAGCATGTTGGTCTGTCCCACCAGTGTCCATGCATGGTTGAAGTTGTGACTTCTGAGGTTTCCTTAATATATAGGTTTGGAGTTCAAACTTATATGTACAGTGCGCGTATAAATTACGCGAAAGACCGAGTAGAAATTAATTAAAAGGGGCTGACTTTGGCGGGTAGCTAGGTGATGAGAGAAAGAAATTAAAGGAGGAAGAATATATTCTTCTGCGGCGGTGAAATGGGTGGTGCCACCCACCCACAGGAGATGGAGACTACACCATTTTCATCATAACTCCATTATCTACGCTACTATACACAGAGATGCAAAGATACAAGGAAAGTAAACCCCAATATCGTTGCCTTTAATTTGGATTATTTTGTTTTCAAGCTTTTATGCTACAAAAGCATTATGCACCTTCCAAAAGATGTTTCTTTCTTTCTTTTTCTTCTCTCTTTTTTCTTAATCTTTTTCCAACTATGCAACCACTTTTCTATATTGTATTCTTCAACAATGCAAAAAAGATCAAAAAAAAAAAAAACATATATAATTTATAACTTTTATATGTGTGATTCACTCATGTCTTAATCAAGCTTAATTATGTGTTTCCTTTTCGCTATTATATATGGTCATTGATATCCAAAAATATATAATCACATAAAATGTTGATTAATTTATTCATAACTCATCCATTTTGAAGGTTTAGAATGAAAATCGAGCTAGTCCAGCATTCGGCTTATTATATATTGAAACATACATAGCGCTAACTGCTACATAAGTATAAGAAAATAAAGTTGTATCTTTGTTACTAAATATAGTTTTTGACGTAGTGATAAATGTTAAATAAGTACATTATTTAAGGTAATCCGACACTTTTTATTTAGATAATAAAATGTTGGTTAGGTTTGTGTTTTTTAAGTTATGTTATAATTTATTTTGTTTAAGTGTATATGAAAATTAAAGCAGTAATGACTCAATCAAGGTTGGAGTTCCTCTTCAATACAACAATGGTGTGAACACTAACTCCCAAGGGGATCCAATGTAAAGAAGGTTTAATCATTTTGGATTTTTAAAATATTTTTTATGCTTTAACTTTTGCCTCTAATGATTAACCTTTTACATTGAGGACCAAGTTTTTATAAAGCAATTAACTATCTCAGCTCCCTGCCTTTAACTTTTTTTTTTTTTTTTTTTTAAATCTATCTTTGTAGTTCCAAAAGAACAATGATGCACGTACAGGTATGGTAAGAATGTGTCAGTCTTAACAAAAATAAAGTTAAATACAAAATATTTAATTTTGTACAATATAAATGAGGTTATAAATTTAGAAAGAGTAGTAATCATTCGTTTGATTCGTGCAAATAAATAAAAGGAGACTCATTTTATGATGTTTACCCATTTTAGTTGCATCTTATGTTATAGAATTTACAAGTATTATACAAATTGTTTGTAAATCTCACAAATTTCATTAAAAATTTAGTTATAGATTATTAAAAGAATGCAAAATATATTAAAAATATTGGCCCATAAATATGCAATTGAAGTGTACAAAAAATGTACATTTAATTGAACGCATAGAAATGTGCACTTGAGGTCAAATGTTTGCACTCAAAGTTATAAAGATTTGCACTTAAAGAGAAGACTAAGTACTGAAACAGAACATATGTACTTGAAGAATGAAAATATGCACACGAAGGAAAACGTGCACTTGAAGAAGGAAAAAATATACACTCGAAGAAAAAAGAACATCTAAACTTACTTACTCAAAATTACAATAATGTCATCCCGTATTTTTTAATTTTTCTTTATTTTGGACTATTGATTTGGACTTGATCTATGATTGAGATTTAACTATCTTTTTTACCTAAAGCATTGCTCCTCGTAATATATATATATATATATATATATATATATATATATATATATATATATATATATATATATATATATATATATATATATATATATATATTAGTTTTTTACGCGCATTGCGCGATTGGGATAATACCCAATACTTTTTTGTTTAATAAGTACTTTAAAGTATATTAAGGCAGGATTATATTGCAATTGTTCATGCATAGATAATTGAAGGTTGAATTTGCGTATTTAAATAGGTAATTCTTCTCCCAAAAGTTGAGTCCCCAATCCCAATGGCCCCCACACTCCGACTCGACAGAGCATTGTGGGAAGTTGTAAATCACGGTGACTCAATGGTTCAGCAGACAGGGCCAAATGCTGATACGCACAAGGAATCTGCCCACTTTGGACATAATTCCCGCACTGCCGCCGCCGAGGTTCAAACCTTGGTCTCTTCTCCCAAATACTACCCACTAAACCATTGAGCTAAGCCCGTGCGAGTTAAATAGGTAATTCTAAGTTTACAAATGCAAGATAATATAGTCAAGATTGATTATAATTGTCAATAAAATAATTGTATATGTATAGTTGAAACCAAATACGGGACATAAGGAAAAACAAATAAAAATTAGGGCATAAAATATTAAATATATACTAATATTGTTTGAGGAGATTCCGACATTAGGATTTGTGGTTAAGTTCTATTAAGACTTTAATATTAGAATTAGATTAACGGTGTAGTTATAATTCTATATTAGACTTTAATATTAGAATTAGACTAACGGTGAATTAACGGGAAAGTTAAATGGATAATCATATAATTAAGGATAAATTAGAAAATCTTTAAAAAAAAAATTAAAACCTGAACAATATAAACCATTCATTTGATTTAATAATTCGGCGATCATTTTTTATACCCAATGTTAATAATTAAATAAATTCGCTGGTCAAATCCGCTAACGCTAACCGCTAACTGCTGATTGTCAAACAAGGACATTGTAGTTCTCACTTCAATTTGTTGTGTGATTTGAATAGTCTCTTTGTCACAAAATCTCTCAAGTAGTTAATATGGTTGGCTTTATTAATTATATTTTTTAAATTTTTTCATGATATTAATAAAATACTTGGTAAATAAATATATAGCATTATTTTGTATTATAACTTTGATATTTAATTAGAAAAAT